TATATAGAAGCCGGATCGAATCCGGGAGTTGTGGCAGGCGTAGCGCGCGCTTTTTGACTGCCGCTGGCCGATTTCAATAAGCCATAAAAACGTCGTCGGCTAATAATACTAAATAAAAATTACAATCTGTCCGCCGAAAGAGAGCGTCCGTTTGTGGTTTTATCTCGCTTGCTCCTCCGTTGGCTCCACCACTCGGACACTCAGGCTCTCTCACTCTAACAGTCGCGATATCGCTGCGATCGAGTGGTTTTAGCGACTCCACGTCGAAAGGTGCCAACTGGCGCTGGCGTACTGCCAATGGAATAAACCGGGGGACCTGGACCCGCCGCCAGAAGCCCTCGACACCCGATGATCCGTCGAGAATCGGAATTGGAGAATCGGGAACCGGAGAACCTGAGAATCGTCGGGAGAATCGCCAGAGAATTTGAGTGGCGCAACGAGGGACACTTTAAACGGTACAACAATCACTTATTAAAGTCAAATAGGTATTAAACAAAACACACGCAGTGCACAGGAGAGCGTTGAAGGCAGCCGAGTTGAACAAATATCAATAAGTGTACACAAGAGTATCGATAAAGCTGTCCCCGTAGGTGTGCGCTGCAGTTATCGCTGTCCCCCCCCCCCTGGAAAAAAATATATATGTATATATCCACACACATGCACTTAACTGGCCCGCAGAGATATATTCCAGCCGGGAGATACTCGCAACGCCCCAAATCGGGCTTTTTGCTTATATTTGTTCTTCTGCCCCTCATTTTTACTGGGTCTGAACCGATTTGTGGCTGCTGCTGCAATGCACAGTGGTGCCAAGTGATCGAAATGGGAATAAAGTAAAGTTGTAAAGTGTGACCAAAGCAACTGAAAGCTCTTACGTTAAGTTTGCATTAAAAACTTAATTTGTATCCATTCTCCTTATTTTCTGACGATTAGATCCTGAGTTTCGTGGTTTAAAGATGATCTTCATAGAGGACCACGACTTTGTCCGTAATTCTTGTCCGCTTTAAAGTGCACCCCACTGGGTGGTTATTTGCCGTGCCATATCGCTTTCACCCATAAAATATAATCCCTGCAATCTATACAGCTAACCGCAATTGAGGAAAATATATACTAAATCAGCACTTAATCCCCTCGTTATCTGGCCGCAATCTGTCCGCTTGTCCGTTTGTCCGCCAAAACTGACCGTTAGAGTCAGACCCCACTGGGTGGCTATATTGGCAGCACTCAATCGGACACTTTGCCCACAAGACACCACGGAACCGGCGATCCAATCCATCAGCGAATGCGAGTGAATAAATTTGTCGAGTGGTCGTCGATAAATATCTTAATGGGCGCACGTAAGACTGCCACTTGATGTTTCGGTAGCACCCTGACCAAGGTAAATGGGCTAAAGCTATCAGGTTATAACTCCCGACTCGAATTCAAGCGGAGTCATAAAATAATAATAATAATAGTAATACGGCCCCCGGCGAAATTATTATTATTAAGGGTGATTATGTGGCGCGTATGTTTATTGACAAACAATATCGCTGCTCGATCGGGAGTTGTTGGGCCCCATAAAACTCCCGTTTGGCACCGTATTCTGTTTTATTTTCGTTTTGTTTTTGTTTGCACACGGGTACGGATCGGGTAGATATCAGAGTTGGTGATATGGTAGCCGTGATAATGCCGTGGATACCCGAGAGAACACACAACAACAAGAGCATACAACCTACATATGAGGTATGAAGACCCATACATTACAGCTCCCGATATGCTGGCTAATCAGCCCGATTTGAATGTGGACTGGCTGTTTTAATGTTGTAGCAACATGTTTGGCTTCCATTCGGTTTCGATTCTTATCAGATGGGAGAGCGGGCTACCGTTTGCACCGCCTTATCAAGGGGGCCAGCTCCACTACCACCACCTAGAAGAATGCCACTGAGCACCCAGGTGGGGCGGACTGCCGCCGGTCGTCAGTCTATTTGTCCCTGTCGCACCCATTCGGTGGTTGGACCGCAAGCATTTTGTTTATGCCCTTATCTCTCTCTCTCTGAACTCGGGGTCCCATCGACCGCCCCCTAATTTCTCCAGCGATCTCAGGAGCTGTACCAGCTATCCGTACCCCAGTGCTGACATCTTTTAACTTCGACTGGGCCAGACACTATGACAACCGTAATAGGAGTGGTACTGGAGATCTCGGAACGATATGAACCATTTCAAGATTACTTCTTAAGAGGCCATTCAATGTTCTGTCGAGTGATCTCTTAACCAACCTGAGTGAACTCAATGGGAATCCGTTTAATTTTGGTAATCAAGGAGCTTTAAGTGATGGGTATTATCAGTTCACCTAGTGATTTTTAACTCGAGAGATTCTTCTCGTTTGAAGAGCTTTAATTTTAACTCAATTTACGTAATAATTTTGTTGTTCACAAGTCTTAAATTAAATTAAAATTGCTAGATTTATTTGTAATACGCTTACTATAGGGGTTTGAAACCAAATGGTGAAGTAAATCTGTTACCAAACAAACTTTAAAGAGGCAACTTCCACCACTTATCCGAAAATTACCCGATGCGTCCTTGGTTGATCAATAAGCCCAAGTGCAAAACAGGGAAATTAAAGTAGAGCTTTTGGGCCGGACCCAAGGAATTCTCCCCCCAACACTTAAGTACTGCTTGCAGCAAAACAAAAAAAAATGCACATATCTCAAGTTCCCAATACCCTCAAGTGCATTTCAAAGTTGTCTGTCGCTCTATCTGTGCTCTACCTCTATCTACTTGGGTGTAACATTGTTCCGATAGAGGAACTGCACGCCCGGCAAGTGTGTTGTTTGTCATTTGTCATGTAGCGGACAAACGGACAAATGGACGAACGGACAAACGGACATACGGACAAGGGACAGTGGCCACTTGTGTGTGGTGCACTCTTGAGAATGCAGAATGCACTTTGGAAAGTTTCACAATGCAGCCAGGGTAAAAACAAAACCCACGGAGCCACTCGACGAGCTATTTCGAACACAGATCACTATCTATCCGCTTTTCCGTCCGCTATCCGCTGTCCGTTGTCCGTGCTCCACATTCACGGAGTTCCACATCGATCAAAAATGCGGTGCTCCATTAAATGCGAGCGACAAAAGCAAACCCCAATGGAAAAGCCAAAGCAAACCAAATCGAGTCAGCAGAAGCTGAAGCAGCTCTCCCGGCCCATATATCAAAATGTACGTCAATTTTCATGCTCCGGACACTTGATAGACTGAAGTGCTTTACATTGATTTCACATATACCTTTTCAAGTGATTTATTGTAAAGGCTTGTTGGCGCACTCGAAGTTGAAACTCATAATGAGCGCGCACACATGTATGTGCCCGGGTGTAATGTAGTCCAGCCCCCGCTTAGAAGTCAAACTCATTAAGTGAGTGGATGTTCCCCGGAGTCTCAGGCCTATATATCTGTTCGTTCTTGGACTGATTGGCCAGCCAGACTCTCTGGCATTGGACCTTGGTTATCTTCGAGGGGATTTAGGGGCTTAACAGGAATTGGTTTTGAAAGTTCAGGGGTTGGTTTGCATATTATTATTAAATATTATGCAACGGTAGTGGTTCAACCTTCTGGGAGTCACTTGAAGTTTACAGATGGTAAAATTCAAATTTTGAAAACCATGTTCGTTTGGTTTTCACAATAAATCATTTTGAAACCTTTTTTAAAATGTGAAAAATAGTATTTCCTATAAAGAGGGTAACGTTTTACTAATATAAGGGCTACGATTACGTACTTACTTCGTTTTATAACCAATATATGTATGTATGTTATGGAACGATTGGGCTAATGCCAAAGCTGGAACCAATCCGTTCCATCTGCTTTCAACTGACCCCGTATTATCGATGCTAATCCAAAATTAAGGCAGGAAAATTGATTAGGTTCGATGGGTTATCGGTGAAATATATGACCGATCGCGCGGAATAAATCATAATAATCTTGGGGTTATTTGGATGTGGAACAACAATCGTAATAAAGTTGATTCACGTTATTAATATTTTGTTTTTCTGTTATTTTATTTTATTTATGCAAAATATTTCGAAAAAGAACACAAAAATTCAAAATCAAATTATATGATTATACATTGAAAATGGTTTTTTGGTTTTGTTTTCTTTGTTGTTGTTGTTTTGTTGTTGTTTGTTTCCTTTGCATTCTTATGTTTTATGTTTGGTTTTCCATCAATGGGTTTTTTTTGTGTGAAACATTATACAATTTTCCTGGCTTTTCCTGGGTCCCACGCCCCGGGGCTATAGTGTTATAATGCCCGACATATCGATAATCGATATCGATCCGGATAGATCGGTGCGAGTCGAAGATCGAAGATAGTCGATCGCCGATCGAAGATCAAAGATCGGGGGTCAACGGCCAGGACCGAATGCTGAAATCTTTTCCACATTAATAATAGTATATATAGCGTACAATTATTGTTGCAATTACAATTGTCTTTGAGTACATTTAATATTTAAATTTTCTTATACTTTTCTCCAACTGAGTTCTCCGCTCGGCCAAAAATCATAGTTCGACAAAAAGAATTACACAAATTTTTTGCTCTTATTTGCTGGTTTTCTCTCGTTACAATTTACTTCTTTTTGTTTTGAATTTGTTTTTTTGTTTTTTAATTTTTTTTTTGCTTTTCTCTTGGTTTTCAATGATGAGACTACGACAAAAACACATGCGATTTCATTATAATTTTCTTGTTGTTGCTTCCACGTTTTTTTTTTGTTTGTTGGTTTTGCATTTAATCTTTGTGTAAATCTTTTTTGTTTTATGATATTCTTTACGTTTCCATTTATTTTATTATTTTATTTAATTTTATTTATGCAGGACGGGGTTTATTTCTTACACATTTGCATCATTTTTGTTTTTTGTTTTTTTTTTCGCTTTTACTTTCCGCTTTTTTTGTTTTTTGGTTTTGTTTTTTGCTTCACTAAGTGTAAATATCAATTGTTTTTTTCTTTTTTTCTTGTTCTTTTTTGGTTTTTATATATATGTATACTTTTTCATTTTTTGTTGTTGTTCTTGTTGTATTAATGAATAAATTAAAAAATATTCAAGCTTTGACTAGTTAGATTTTCTTCTTATTTACTTTTTGTGTAGTTGATTTGCCTTTTTGTTTGTTTCTGTTGAAATATATATGTGTTTGTATATATATATATATATATTGATGTATATATATTGTTGTAATACATTTAGCATTATATAATGTGTCTGTCTTTGTCTGTGTGTGTCTGTGTGAGGGAGAGCCATGAGTTTGCCTTGAAGAACGAAGATTGCCATGATTTTTAAACGAGTCAAAAATGCTTGAAGATATTCTTTCCGTATAGCCAAAAGTTCTGACCAATTCTATAATTGCATATATTTTGAGACTGTTATTCAACTTTGAGTATGTGTGAAACAAGAACTAAACTTGAAAATCTGCTAAAAAAAGTAAAATTTGAATTGAAACTGATCGCAAAACTGTAGTTGAAGTCAAAATAGAAATTTAAACTGAGCTGAAAAGTGGATTTAATCACTTCCAAAAGTTAATGCCTAAATAAACGTTTCAATTATAACAAAAATTTAAATCAATTTCAAAATTGAAAACGTTACTATTCTTGCTGCTCAGAAACTGAACATAAATTTGTAATCCTCATTGACACTGACCTTGGATTTAAAGTATAAATTGTTTTCGATATGGGAATGATATTTAAAAACATAATCACATTTAAATTATGGTCTTAACTAAAATTTCCATATCTCCATTGTACATTTTCAGCTTCAGTTACAAGGTTTGTTTCTCTAAGGATTACATTTTCATTGTCAATTTCATCCAGCTTCAATTTTAGTAACAATCTCAGGTGGCTTTTGAATTTGCATTTCAATTTCTGTCTAATTTACAGCACTTATTTTGATTTTAATTTGTGTTAGTGTGTAAATGCCAGTTTTCAGTTCTGTTTATACTGTATTTTTTCAATATCAGATCAAAAGTAACTTTCAATCGCAGTAATTTCCAATCAACTTTAACTACAGGTTCGATATCAGTTTCAGTTTAAACCCAGTTGCCAAATTTAAATTGCAGTTTCAATTATGGGGTCATTCTCCTTTTAAATCTCATTCAGAATCTCAATTTCCGATTTAATTTTCGAATTACTCAGTGCAACTGTATTTTCAATCTCAACATTCAAGCTATGGCTCTTGTTTCAATTTTAGTTGAATATCGGTTTCAATATGACATACAATTTACGATTTAGTTTTACTCTTTATATTCCTATTCTTTTCAGAATATTTTAGACCAATAACAGTTTAGATCTCAGTTTTCGTTAAAACACAATTGAAATATTTTTAAAATAAAAAATGATTTTCAATTCTGTTTCAATTTCAGTTCAATTTTTATTTCAATTTCAGTTCAATTTTTATTTCAATTTCAGATCAATTTTAGTTTCAATTTTAGTTCAATTTTAGTTTCAATTTGATTTTTTCCATAGATATTCAATGAATATGCTTAAATTCAAGATCTGCTACAATTTAGCTCTTGATTGAATGGAAATTGAACTGGGAAGGGCAACCACTTGTCGGTTCTTCGCCGCGGGGAATGCATTTCGATTATTTGGCTTGATTGAGTAACAGTATCTCGCTGCTCGAACAAAGCAGGCCAAATATTTGCCAAGCAATCGAGCCGAGAAATGAAACTAGCCGTTTCGAAACGGTTTATCTTTGGGACTCTCCGGCGCTTTGGAGCGTCCACTCTAGGTGGTGCCGTCTCCGGATCCGTCCGTCGCCGAGCTCCCCGGATTTTGCGGTTCCACCTCCGTTTGGGGGACCCGCTTATCAGATTTCGCCGTCATTTGGCCCTAAGGCATAATTGCATAATTGCAAACAGTTGCGAATCTTTTGATATGAAATGCAACGACTTCTCAAGGGCTCTTCTGTGGTGTGTTTGTGTGTGTGTGTGAGTGTTTTGTGCTGGCCTTTGAGTGAAACATGTAACGTAAAAAAGAGAAAAACATTTTTGTTTTTTGGTTTTTGTTTGGTTTTTTGCCACCGACTTACACACAAAATATGCAGAAAAAGTTCTAAAAGTTTTTCGCTTTCGTTTGTCATATTTGTTTTTTTTTTCTTTCTTTGGGTTTCCATCTGCAATTAGCTTAGCGTTTTGCATTGTTTCTGTTACGTAGCTGATTCATATATTAATTTCATAGCCTGCCAAGCATCGTAATTCTTTCCCTCAGCCGGCTGACCTTCGACCTTTGGGTTGTGTGGCTCGTGTATAGATACATAAATACATTTATGGACATTTCTTCTTGCTTTGCTTTAAATATATTGTATATATATATATATATATGTGTATATATAATTTGTTGGGTTTTTGCAGTTGCTTTTTGCGTTTTTTGTCTGGTGTCCTTTGGGTGTGGGTGTGAGTGTGAGAGTGTATGGTTTAGAGAGAGAGTTCGACATATACATTAGCGCATATGCACGTTCGTATAGAGATTAGTACGCGTAGGTAGCTCTTAGGTTCACATGTGTCTCAGTGTGTGAGTGTGTGTGTATCTGTGTTTCTGCGTCCTTTCTGCTTTCTTCATTTAGCTCTTAGCGCGGCTCTAATAAATGGCGTAAGTTTTGTCGGTAAGAATTGCGATCGGCTTGCAAGCATTTCAACGCCACGAAACGCTCAAAAGTATGCTACGAAGCAGCCATGAATGCGTGTGTGTGTGTGTGTGTTAATCTGTGAGTTGCTGTCAGTGTGAGTGTGACTGTTCCTGTATCTATGAGTGAGTCGGTGTGTGAATGTGTGTTGACAATTTATTTACTAGGAATATCTTTTGTTTTGCATTTGCTTTTCTTCTGCTCTCCTTTCTTTCTTCTCCTCCGCCAGCTCCTCCTTTCCTTTTTTTTTTAATTTTTGATGTCTGCGATTCTTGCCTTTACGCTTTCTACTTTCTTCTTTTACTCCGAGTTGCCTTTGCACGGATTTTTGCTTGCCTCTTTGGCTGTTAGTTCTCTTCATTCTCTCTTTTTAATTGGCGCCCAACAAGAACCGCAAAATGGGAAATGTAGGTGAGTCTGTGTCTTCAATCTGATTATGTGTGTATCTGTGTGAGTGTGTGTGTGTGTGGGAAAGGGACAGAGTGGTCGAGTGAGACAGAGAGAGACAGAGAGCTAGAAAGGATGTTTACTGCATTTTGTTAAACATTCAAATACTTAAATTTAATTGCTTGCTTTATATTCTTGCCTTTCTGCTTGCTTGCTTTAATTTAATATATAGATATATTACCATTCATTGAATTTATCTTTCTTCTTCTACCCCTCGATTCTCCTTATTGGAACTGCGCTCCTTTTGACGAAAAAAAAATCATTTCTCTTCCCATCTGCTTTTAATATTATGCTTAAGTTTTTTCCATTTTTTGAAATTGTGGTTGCTGCTGCTGTTGCTTCTGCTCTTGCTTTTTCTGTTGATGTGTGCCTCTCGCTCGCTCGCGTTCTCGCTCCTGCTCTAGCCAGCCGCGCCCCTGTTGCCGTCCCGCTTACTCTTTCACTTCGAAATATTTGTAGGTCGGATTCTCGTACCCATTGATCTGCATGTTGGGCACGATCTTCTCCTCCTGCACGATGGGATGGTGTGTGGTTACGTTCTAGTTGGGTAAATCAATGAGTTAGTAAGCGATTAAGGATAAGAAAGAGTAATATGTGTATGGTATGGGGTAAGAGATCGACAAAGGCACCGAGATTACAATGCCTATCTGTGGTAATAATTGAAAACTTATTTAAGACACCGTTGTGTAATTGTAAATTTTAGGTTGTTAATCAAGATTAACCGAAGGAGCTGCTTCTAGCTTAACTTGGGTACTATTTCTATAGTAAGCCACTGTTATACATGAACTTTTACTCTTATAAAATCTGTTATATACAAGAGGTTAGAGGAACCATTAGCTTGAGTTAAAAAATGAATTATTTTATGTAATTGATCTACCAGAGCGTCACTGTTCTACACTGCTGTTATAAAACTGTTATACATATACGAAACACAAGAATGGATTCCCTAGATTTGAGTGAACGATTTTCTCTAAGCCTGACTCCGAAATGAGCTTAGGACGTTCTTGTTTCTGCTTCTACAAAGCACCACTGTTATACGGCCATCATGCCCCTACTTCTATACTACACCACTGTTATACGGCGATCTCGGCTCTCCATACCCCGACCACAACCCCGCCACCCACCTGATCGACCTCGATGAAGCCCTGGGCGTGCGGCGAGCGCGATGTCCGCCACTTGGCCACGGCCACGCCCACGAAGACGGCCGCCATGAGGGCGATGCCGGCGAAGGAGAGCGTGAAGTAGACGTTGCGACCCTCCTTGGCCGCGTGCGCATGCTGCGCGAACTCGCGGCGCAGCGAGAAGCTCTGCAACGAGAGGGGAGAGAGAGAGAGGGGATAGGCTTTAGGCAAATGCGGTACGAGTTGGCGCCGCAGCTCAAATACCGATTCGCGGTGGCCCAGGTCGTGGGTCATGAAGTGCTGCACCTGCGGCTCGGCCTCCTGGTGAGCAACGGCAGCGGCCACATCCTCCACCGCCCGCTGGACGGCATCATCGTCGACCGTTGGTAGCACGGTCTGCACCTTGGTGCTGCTGTAGATTTGGACAGACCATAGATTCATTATTATCCAGAAGTTAGTCATACTTCGTTTAGATACCCACCTTACTGTTGCCTCGGCGTACTCAGTATCCGACAGCTCCTTCTCGCTCTTGGTGGTGTCCAAGTTGGGATTGGCCGCTGTGACCAGTCCTCCATCGAGACCTAGTTCCTTGCTGCTCAGGCTCTTCTCCTGCTGCTGCTGCTGCGCCTGCGATTGGGTCGACGACTGTGGTGACTGCTGCGATTGCTGCTCGGCCGCCTGCGACTTGAGCATATCGTCCACCTTCTTAGCCTCCAGGCGCAGCTTCTCCTCGCGCAGTTTCTCCCGCTCGGCGGCCCGCTGCTCCTTGCGCTGCTTCTCGGCCAGCCGGAGACGCTCCTTCTCGGCCACCTTGCGCTCGATCTCGATGCGGTACTTGTCCAGAATGCCGGCTTCCGCCTCCTCGCTCATGCCCAGCGAAGAGCCGGGAATGTCATCCTTGCTACGCAATGCCAGGATATAGTCGTTCATTAGCTGGGCAATCTTGGCCGATAGCTCGGGATAGCGCTTGAGCATGGTCATCGACTGGTTGACGGCACGATCGATGTCGATCAGGCGCTCAAGTGTGCGTGGTCGCTCCGAAGCAGCCGCCTCCAGGCCACCGGGTCCTCCAGAGTTCAACAGGTGGCGGTAGTGGGCCAGAGCATGGGCACGGTCCTTGTGCAAGGCGCGCAGTAATTTCTGCAGGCACTTCTCAACATGGTGAGCCTGGATGAGATTATGGTCATTAGCATACGAAACTTATGTCTTAATCCATAAGGTAGAAGTAATGACTAATCTCTTCACAGAGCCTTTTTAACAACACAGCTTACAGAGGTTGTGATAAGATTGAACATATAACAAATCACATTTTTCTTTTTTGACACAAATTGGTTTCCAACAACTTTGAACCGATATTAATTTAATAAAACAGAGGTGGACGCTCATATTTTCTATGTACGCCTAAGATCCACAAAACCTTTTTTAAATGATGTAACAATTAATTGGCGCCCCCGGGTGGACTCACGTTTAAATAAAACGATTTTTATGAACGTAATAATAATAACGTAACTTTTTCATAATTCTGTTAAATTGCAATGCTAACTACAATACTAATTAATCTTTCAAATATCGATTTTTGCTTGGAACCGGACATATCCCATTGAGGATACCTCTCGCAGGGGGAACTACTCACGTTCGGGGGCTGTTCAGTGAGGGCCTGGGTGTAGCAGGTCATGGCCTCCCGCTTCCTCTGGTTGATGTGGGCCAAAACGCGCTGCTGGTGCATGGCGGCCAGCTGGTGCTTCTCGGCGTTGCCTTCTTCCTCGAGTGCCTGAACAGAAGTCTAAAATTACATTCCCATATAAAGACGTATTGCACACCAAGAGAGAAAGATTATCAGCATGGGGAATTTTCTTCGATCGATAACAATATGCAGCTGTCGATCGGTCTATCGGTATTTTGATTTCGTTTACATTTTCGAAAAAAATTGCCTCGATTCGTACGTATCTCGTTGAATGTTTTGTTTGTGGTTGAAATGTTGGTTTTGGTTTGGGTTGGGAACGTGTCGCTTGGTTTGTCCTGAGTTTTTGGATTAAAGGATAGCTCGCAGGTTTTATTATTTTTAGTTTTGATTGTGCCGCTACGGAGCTTGTGCTGCCATGGAGGAGCGAGATGGAGCGAGAACGAGCGAGAGAGGAGAGAGAGTGCAAACCACTGATGCGGTGCAAAAATGTTTGGATTTGAAATGATCCTGTCCATGTGGTCGAATAGTGTCAAGTTTTATTATGGTATATGGTATTATATACATGGATGCAGTTCATTCCCGGCGGAAGCGCAGCAGTTACGTAAGCAGCATATACAGGTCTATAATGCGAGCAATACACATCGATAAGGACCAAAGTCGGGATATCAGAGGTTTGACTTCCGTTCGTGTTCGCGTTTATTCTCAGTTCGTCTTGGGGATAGTTTGGTATCGAAATAAGTAATACGTCAAAACTAAGCATAGGTTAACGATTACGTGTAGGTTTAGGTAAAGGTATAGGCGGATTATAGTTAGTTTGTATGCCAATCAGTTCAACTACAAAGCACTTTGAATGTTAGTTAGTAATATGGGTAATTGGATCTATTGTTTCGTTTCTGTAGCGGTACTTCGTTAACTGGTTAGATTACGAGCAGCATTATCGTTATTTTTACTGGTACTGTTATTGTTATTGCTGTTGTGATTACAATCTGATGCCTCTTTCGCTCCCATTTGCCATACATATGGATACACAAATAAACAAAAGACAGCCCAACGATGCCCAGAGATATGGATGGGTAGTATATCCCTATGATGGGTAGTACATACATAAAATCCATCTCTGGACCTCGAAGTGCAGCAAACGAAAAGCAGGCGATACAATGAGGACAACTTAATGTCTTAAGAATACGACTCAATGAGCTACGATTACGGTTAGAGTAGGAAACAATTACGATTACGATATACAGGGTGCATGATAAGGGGGCTTTAAAATGGGAACAGAAAAGGAACTTGACGAAATAATAAACGATTTCGATGATTATACAGGTGGATTGAATACTTGTTATGGGGCCGATTACTCAGGTAGCTTCAGGTGGCAAAGTTAAAGGGAGTTCTATAATCGATAATGATTTTTAGTAATCACTTAACTAATCAATCATTTTTTCATCGATACCTTGCCAACTGAATTACCCGATATAGACGCAGACATACACACACATTCAGATGCAGAGACATAGCTTTTAAATGGTTCACAAATTCTAGAGGAAAGGTGGCAGGCAGTCAGAGAGAGATAGGTGGGGTTCGGTGCGAGACAGAGACAGAGTGATGAGTAGAGACAGTGAGTGAGAGAGACAGAAATAGAGGGGGTGGACATTGGGATGTGGAATACTGGAGATGAGTGCGTCACACGGAGGATGACTGACCTGGAAGCGAGCCGTCATCCGCTGCTTAAAGGATTGGGCTGCCTTGGGGTCCGCCAGTCGCATGTCCTGGTACTTCTCCTCCAGATCAGACCAGTCCTTCATCACGCGCGTGACCTTCTCGCGATGCGATTCCTCAAGGCGCTGTTGGGCTTCCTTTGTTTAGAATACGTTTTGTGTTGCATCGATAAATAAACCTGCGCCCTCAACGTAAACACTTACTTTCTGACTTACTTTGTAGCTCTGGTGCTCATAGTGCGGATCAAAGTGGGTGAAGTACGGGTCCGAAGTGGGCTGTGCGGTGGATGGTGGGGCTCCAGCTCCAGCTCCTGATCCCAATCCAGCTCCCGAGTTTCCAGAATTCATAGATGCTGCAGCAGCAGCAGCAGCAGCGGCGGCTGCTGCGGCAGAAAGCTGAGGAGTGCTCGTGACCAAGTCGGACTTCAGGGGTGTCTTTTCGGAAGCAGTGACAATCGGAATGTTGGACGGGGCGGAAGAGGCACCACTCTTCAGGGTCACCACCTTAGCTCCTCCACTCTGATCCCAGGAGGTCTCACCATCAGCCTCGCCCTCGGAACCAGCTCCATCCTCCTCGTAGTTGTCGCCCTCCTCGCCGCTATCGTACTCCGCATTTATATCATCCAAAGATCCGCTATTGACATCCCCTGAGGAACCGGTGCTGGGACTTCCGCCTCCGGCAGCTGCCTCATCCGCCACCATCTCGTCCTCCTCGTCATCGCCCATCAGATCATCCTCATCGTCCAGCTCATCGTCATTGGCATCCTTAGAGTAATTGGAGTCATTGCTGTCGTCCTCGTCATTCACCACCAGTTCGTCATTGGCACTGGTAATCTGGGCTGGTGGCATCACCGGCAAGTCGGTCTTTTTCACATGGATTTCATCGGCTGGGAGAGGGGAAAAATTTCATAAATGAAATATTTGTTTAATGAAGAGCCAACACGTTGGCTAATTGATAGGAAAACCCAACGTTTAATTGACGAAATGTGAAGCCAAATTTAAGCAAACTCCACAATAAAATTCCTGAATAAATAAATCCATAACTGATTCGCTTAATATCCAATGACAGAGTGAGTAATGGCACATTTGTTTGTTCTGTGCATTTGATTTGTGTTTTAAATAATTAATGTCATAACCACAGGGCGAAAGTAACTAATGGCTATGCACAGACAAAGGCGGACAAGGAAAAAAAGTGTGGAAAGTGGAAAGTGTGACAGTAATTGAAGGGGATTGCAGAAGGAAATAAAAAGCATGTTGATTGGATTTGCGGAATATCATATTTCTGCCACAATAACGATGGGCTTTTGCAGTCTCAAAAGACTGACGTGTGACACCCCTTGATGGGCGAATGGCTAAGGGAATGCTATGGATTTATAGTTTTTTTTTTTTTTTTTTTTTTTAAAACGGCCCTGGTCAGTACTCACTCTTGAAGTGCTTGGGACAGCAGACGAACTCCACGCCGGAGAAGACCGAGATGCCGCAAGGTAGGAGCATGGCGAAGCTGCGCATCTGCATACCACGCTCCTGGCAAGCGGCTGCTCCAGTTTGGTTCCACCTCACGAATGGCCAGCAGCGGGAGGCGTTGTGGATGTGGTCGAAGAGGCAGCCCTCGGGAACCAGCAGGGCGTCCGATTGGAATGGTCCTTCTGAAGCCAAACGTCGTCGAGTGGTGATGAATGCAATGGATGGAGATGGAGCATAGGGAAAGCGGATCAGTTGGTTGGTTCCCTTCTATGGGTATTGATAGTTAAGTATACTCACCGAGACAGCGGAATGGCTTGATCCAGCGGTGGGAGCCCTTGCACTTGGCCGCATTCAGAGCACCCTGACGGCACCAGCCGCCGATCTTCTGGTAGTGGGATGACTCTACGATATTGGTAATGTCTCGGTTGGGATAGGCCTGAAAAATAGAAAATAAAAACAGTTTATAATGCTGTTAAAAACACTCAACTAAAGGGTATACAAATACTATTTAATTTGAAAGAGTATAATAGTTTGTATAACAGTTTGTATAGCTGTATAACAGTGTGTATAACTGTTTTACCACATTTTACAAAGAACGAATAATGTTTCGAAATATTAACTATTTTAACGAGAACACGACAGTTTCTCAGTACCCCAACCTCTCATAAACTGATTAAAGTAGAATGCCACTAGTTATTCATCAGCATTTACCACTAAACCAGGTGGCTTATGTAACAATTTTATTTCGTTCTAGCCACCCAGTTAGTGGGAGAGATTTTAAATTCCGGCTGCCGTTCAATTCATTATTAATCAAGTTCTCATTTGGGGGGCGATTCAGGGGAATTTCATTTATCTGAAAGGATTTTCCCCAGGCTCGCCAGGACACTACCACTCCCCATTCCCCTATTACCTATCCCTATCCCTGTCCCTATCCCATTTTTCTCATCCTGCAAAACTACGAACCGATACCCTTTTGAACTCTGGACTTGTTTGCCAGCCCATTTGATGTGTTTATTTCCCTCTTTTCCCTGTGCTTCTTGTTGTTCCTGTTGCCTTTGGCTTCCGACAATGGGCAGTGAAACTTTAATTGCCTGCCCGGTTTGATTGACTGACTAAATGACTGACTAACTGAATGGCCTAATAAAATATCCCACATGTCTGTACTGTGTGTCTGTGTGGGTGCACGTGCACCCATGTGAGTGTGTACTGTGTGTGAGTGAGGGTGTGTGTGTGTGTGCACTACATTTGTTTCAAACAATTATGTGCCGAGTGGCACACACTCCTCTGGATCCACATTCTCACCATCGTCATCCTGGCCCACACACACACACTCACTCACTCACTCACTCACACTCGCACAACAGCTCATGAAAATGAGGCCTTTTTAAATGTTGTTTGAGTGCTTGGTTGGAAAATGGTTACCTACCCATGAGGGGAAAAGAGGGAGAGGAAAGCGGAGGAGGCCTGGCAAGAAATGAGTGCAAACGGCACGTAGGCAAGGCTCACAGGCGGTCAGACAGCACCCACTCACCACCCACCACCCAGCACCCAGCACCCAGCACCCACACACCCACTATCCACCCAGCAGCCCACACTGCGTATGACTGTCGGCAACCGGGCTAAATAAAACATTAAAAGCACAAAATAATGATGCTGATGCATGTCAAGTCAAACTGAAAACCGAAACCCCAAAGGCCCTCGACTGCCGGACTTCCCGGACAAACAGAAAATAAACCAAGTCTTGGGCATAAGGCCTTGTGCTATGTGCTATGTGCTATGTGCTCTGCTGTGCTGTGCTGTGCTGGTCATTCCATATGCTGCCAGTGTATAAGCCCATAATGGCACAGTGGACTGTGGACAGTCGTTGGACTGCATTGACAATATAACACCAAGTATATAAAAGTTGGGAGTTGGCCCAACTACACACTTCTGCCTCTCCAGGAAATGGAAATGTGCCAATAGAGATTTTGGGAAAGGTTCAAGATCATCACAACGGAATGCATTTTAATTAGGAACCGTCTGGTGGGCAGGCAAATAAACATCATTTGTTATTGAAGAGTCTCAGAAAAGAATTAACTTAAACATTTTATAATATCACCAGTCGCTGTGCATTGATTCTTGAGTTTGATTAACTAGCTTTATATATATATATACCTCTTATACATGAACTGAATATGCACTAAAGTTAGCAGTCTAGAACTAAGAAATCCTAGAATAGATCTTTTCGGAAACCTAGTAAAAATGGTAAATCAGTTAACACTTAATCAGTTATTAAGGGTCTTAAATGCCATAACTATGCCAGACATAAGGTACCCCCAAGAGCAACACCTTTCAGACCTCAGGTTGTCCACTGTGCCCCAGGTTATGTTTTCGTTTCCGTTCGGGAGTTGCGTGCGTGCTAGCGACTCGATATAAACCATGGTGGATCCATTCAAGGACCCACCCACACAGGCCCGAATATTCACGCACTTTAAAAATAAAGAAACGGGGGAAATGGTCAGGGGATTGGAACCACCGACGACGTCATGTCATTCACACGGCCCAGTGCCTGACCAGAGCGGTCGATGGAGTATATAAACGTGCCCGGGGCTTATGGATATACACACACCCACACACATCCAAGCAGCCCAGCCACCCAAACAATCCACCCAGTAGCCAGTCGGCTGTGGAAAGTGAGACTCACTTTCGCAGGACTCGTCGTCCTGGCTGAAATGTGTTCGTTATACTTGGCTTAATCAAAACATATTCAGCCGAGCGTGAGGCTGTTTAAGTGGCTCGCTTGAGAGAGTTTGCCGCAAATAAGCGCGGCGCAAGTTATTGTAACAGCATTTGATTCTTTTGTTTCGGGAAAAGCCCACTCCCCAACCAACCAACCCACTAAACCCACACAACCCACACACCCACACAAGCAAATTTAATTGTATAAAATTAGCAGAGAGCAAAAAATCCATGCATCGCTGCACCGCTTCAGTGGGTGAATGGGAATGCGGATGTGTGAGTGAGTGGGTGAGTGTTCGCTAATGACAGACAAACAATTAAACTTGACATTTCGCCATTGTTCCGTTAGCTTCCACACACACACACACACACACAAACACATACATTCACACAGATATAAAAATATATATACACGCATGGGATTTCAGGACACGTCGCCATTGTTGCTGTCCACACGCTTCACAAGTATCCTTGAGCAATGCAATTAGAAGGGTCTCGATACGCGGACATTAATGACAGCGGCGAATGCCGTTTGCCATGGTTATATTGTTATATTTATCGTTATCGTTATCGTTACAGTCGTCCTTCAGATTCATTCCGCTTTTTTTCCGGCTTCCCTTTTCTGTATGACTGAATTTATTGCATACTTAGGGGCGAACTACCAACTGAGATTTTATATAATCTTATCGAAACTATTTCTAATGGATCCTTATAGCTTTGACATTTTCTTTTGCCTAATTTTCTTTTTTTTCAATTTTTTTTTATTTATTACAAGTTATTTTATAACTGTTTGTATAGCCATAGGCCGAAAAATTCGGTATATAGAATTACCTTTCACCTATCCCATTTCCCTCTGATTATTTGCACCTTTTTCGATTTATTTCAGCTTTTTGAACTCCTAACGAACCTTAATTATTATAAACTTTTCTAAACGGTCTCACTTAAAATACAATTAAATTGTTTTACAGTTTATGCAGTTAAACTGTTGAAAAAACAAACTATATAAATTGTATTGTAATTGGATTGGCTTATTGAACAAATTGTTGGGCGCTAATGGGCTGTGAAAAAAGTTGCTCGCTTTAGTTAATTGGTAAAAACGAATGGCTACGCGGCGCAGCACTTTAAAGTTTATACCCGTACATGTAGATAAATATTGTTAGTCAATTGGATAAACGGATTGGATTTTTCCCAGCATTGATTTATTGGCTTGGCTTAAGCGAAAAGCCCATGACCCGGAGGCATTTGGTTTATATATGGCAAATCCAATTTGAACAGCGGCAAACACTGTATGCCATTATTGTGGCCTTATTCATGGGCTCGATCTTTTGTTAAGTCTCCTTGTTTCTTTTGCTTTTTTTTTATCTGAGTTTCGGAACAAGTTGTTTTCCACGCCGATCAAGGTGAGGCAGAGAAGCCCAAGCCAAACAAATCCAGTTAAAAAATGGAGAAATCCGGCGTGGCAAGTGAGTGTTTGACAGCACCTAACATTCCTCCCATAAAACATCTGTATCCGGAGGGGGCGTAGCGAACGGGGGGCGTGGTCCCCGGTGTGCCCTGTCTGTCAATGCATGCAAAATGCAAACAATTGAGTTGCCAGGAGGGAGGAGGAGGAGTCCAGGGATGGGGATTGGCTGAACCTGGGCACACCTGGCGGAGTGGAGCGCGTTATTGAAAATGATTTTTTAATGTGGCACTGACATGGTGCTCCGTGCTCCGTGCTCCATCCTTCATTTGCCTCCAACCAACTGGGTTGCCACCGTGCCTCCGTGTGGCAAATCATTTTGTGGCAACTTTCTATTTGCATTTTTTCGCATCCTTGCTTTGTTTGCCTTGTTTTCATTTAAGTTTTCGCCACGCCTTGGCATTCCAGTCCACTTCTCTTCCGCTACACGCTGCGTATACGTAACTTGAAGCCTGGTCACGCGGCGTATACGTAGTTTTTGCTTTGATTTTCTTTTTTTTTTACCTGACGTGGGTCTACAACATATATATATATGTATGTATTTTTAGTTAACTTCAAAACCCAGGCATTCAATGACGGAACCCCAACACACACTCGGCCTTCGCCCCAACATGTTGACATTGAAATTGTAAAAATAATTTCCCATACGCCCCGTTGTACAGCGGCAGAGGAACTGAAACTGAAACAGAAACAGAAACACAAACACTAACACTAACGGGGGCATTAGGGCCAAAAAGGCCAAGCGCTGTGTTATTGTTGCCCCGACTGGTCCTGCGGCTTTTCCGTTTTTCCCTGGCTTTGTTTTGCGCCCCGTTTTCCTCGAACTTTTGTGTCGCCGAGTCCTTTCAGTCAAATGGCCAGAAAGCAAACACAATTCAAGGTGCCATCCGAGAGCAGGCCATGGTATATATGGTATATGCTGCATGATACACCGATAAAAAAACTGATTAAAAATACTACTCGTTTTGATGAACTATCTCATGTGATATTTGCAATTTTCATTATCAATTATCAGCTAAAAAAACTAAATTTTTTTGGGGAAAAAATGGGGTTCAGATTTTGGTTAAAAATACGAGATTCGCATTTTAGTCAAAAATACTATTTTTCTGTCCAGTTTTTCAATCGTAGTTCAGCCAAATGAAGCCGTACAGCTAAAAGACCGACTGTTTTGAACAGCTTGCTTGCCATGCTAACGATCCCAATCATTTTTAGGAAAATTTATTTTTTGACCCATTTTTGCATTTTTCATAGGGGGT